GAAAGAGAGGGGAAGAGAAAAATAAAAGAGAGAGAGAGAGAGAGAGAGAGAGAGAGAGAGAGAGAGAGAGAGAGAGAGAGAGAGAGAGAGTTAAAGTACAGAAAGTATAACATTCAAATAAAACATTTTCTTGGTGAAGTTAAATCGTTGCATTTACATACATAGTGCTATTAGCTTTCCCAATGCGTAACTTACATTTTTTTTGGGTCAATTTTGTAGATTTTGATTTTGTAAACATACTGGCGGCTCGCCCTTATTTAATCTATGGTGAATACTTACATTTATTTAGTTATATAACTAACGAAATAAAATTAACTTATGCACGAGGTTTCATTTTGATTAATTTGCCTTTTCTTTCCGTTCTTTTTTTTAATCTGTGTATTTTCTGAAGGTATAACACCTCAGATATACACACTTTTAAACTAGATACAGTTTAACGCTGTCAAAAAGCATCCTGGAATTATAAGTCAAAGGCAAGAAAGAATAATGTAGACATAAGTATCTCTATAATTTCTCACCACTGTAAGATATATAGCTTAATATAATCTCCAAGTTAGCTTGTTTACGTCTCTCTCACTCTTTTACTCTGTCCAGTTTGTGTGTGAGTGTGTGTGTGTGTGTATATGTGTGTGTGTGTTTGTGTGTGTGTGTGTGAGTGTGTGTGAGTGTGTGTGTGTGTATGTGTCTATGTCTGGGTCGTCTTCCTACCCTCTGTCTAAATGTTTCTATGTAATATAAGCGAGAATATGTGATAGTGTAAATATTATAGAGGATGACGACGTGGTGTAGCCTCTAGACGTTCACCTTCGTTCGCCGAGGGTTTAAATGCACAATGAACTAGATTTTTTCCCCCAAAAGGACGTGTGAATCCAGATCGACTCAAGAAAAATAGGTACCTTATAAAGTCCTGAAGATAGTAGCCCCGCCATGATTTTGACCGTATAAATGAAAAGTCGGGAGATGTGAACCAGCGTCACTGATCACGGTTATAAAACATAAGTGCTCTGCCACCAGTACGGACATCCGATAAGAAACTGTCCGCCTGTACGGCCGTCCGCACGAAACTCCGTAGCTACAACGACGTTCCTCCATTTATCCCAGAGTTTTAACTCTGGTACACATTTCCTAGAGGCTGGATAAGCCCCGGGAACCGTGCGGTTTCGAACACCAGCCGGATGTGAAAGCGAGTCTCCTATCGACTGCGCTAACGCAGCTCCTGTTATGAGCATTACCCCCACCCCACTTCCCCTCCACTTTACTATTTTTACTGTCGTTATCTCATTCAGACTCTGCGCTGCGCCAAGTTAGCTGCTTCAGTAGATTTTTTAACTCGTGCCTTAAAAAAAAGAAGTGAAACTATTCGTAGTATATTTCAGATAGACAGTAGTTATTGTGTGTGTGTGAGTGTGTGTGTGTGTGTGTGTGTGTGTGTGTGTGTATGAGTGTTTGTGTGTGTGTGTGCACGAACATATATTTAAACAATATAAAAACTACAAAGAAATGAAAACTTTGGTGCAATGAATGTATTTCTCATTTCTAAGAATGATTTCAATAAAAATGGATTCATTTTAATTACATAATTTATTCAGACCAGCTGAATTAAATACTGATGACATTATAGGTTAGTTTTAGTTAACACATACATATGTAAAACTCTTAATTGGTTCCCCTGTCCACGAAAATGTCTTTGCAGAGATCCCTGGCCCTTGCTCTATTAGGACTGACACGTATTAAGAGCATTGATAATACGTAACTAAAACGAATGCCTGTTTGCCTGCACTGTGGTCATATTTTCAGAACCTCGCCCAGAAGATACAAGAAACTGACGCCGGCTTCAAAAAGGATTTCAGTTTTAAAAAATGGGAGCCAGGATATTTCTTAGGAAATAAGGTCAGTTAGCTGGAGCAGGAACACATCACCTCTTCAATGCTATTCATCTAATTATTTATATAGGGTTAACCGATAAACTCACTCAGTCCAAACATTTGAAGTCTAAAAATTAAATCCCCCCCTCCCCATACACACAGAAACTTACACACACACACACACACACACATACGCGCAGATGCACGCGCACACACACAGAGAAACACACTCTCACACACACATACACACATAAACGAACACAGACACACCAAGAATATACACACAACTAGAAAAGCAACGAATTTCACAGACACCACAGTGTCAGTTTATGAATGATTTATCATTATACTCATAAGGGCTAAAGTTTGATACCTTTTCATTTCGAGTCTTTTAAAGATTAGCTTTTAAAAAAAAAAAAAAAAAATGTGCTTAAATTGTGAAAGCCTATGGCACTTACACAATGTTTCTAAGCATAATGGTCGACATATGTGAAGACAACACACAATGGTTCTTTTTAAACGGTATAAAGATATAGTGACACTTCGAAACATCACACTGCTTCTCATCTGATATCTAAACGAGCTGTGAACAGACAACTTTACGTTGCTATAACTCTTTAAATTCACATCAGCGCAATGGGTTATTTTACTTACATTATTCCACCCCACTGCCAAAAATGTCATGTTACTAAGGCTACATTATCCAAATGTAGATCAAGGTCCTTGGAATTCATTTATCAAAATGGGCATTAAATCATCACATCTTCAACAGTATTGCGAGAAGATCATTATTAGGACAAGACACATAAACTTTTTAATTATAATTTTAACTTTTTAATTATAATCACCTAATATGTACAGCTAGTCAAACCATTGCCGACACCTCAAAATGATTATTGCAAATATTGTAAAATGAAGTAATTTTTGGTATCTAATAAAATATGGTAGATATGTGAGCAATATGAAATGGCGACTTGAGTAATGCTGATGAAACAGTAAGTTTATACCTGTTTAAAGATATTTTTAATCATTTATAATCCTAACCTACAGCTTGTGAGGACAGCAAAAGCTTTAAAGCTAAACCCATCCATACCATTTGCACAGATGGAGGCATTTCCGAAACATCTGTTTCACTGTATTAAAAATAAAAAAATAAAAATGATTTATGTTTACAAATGTGTAACAGGCCGATGAGTTCTAGAAAATTACAAATAAATTAACAGATTTAAAGAATACTTGCACACGTACAGGCAAAACAATTAATATTTACATATGAACCCACATTGATGAGAAACAATAATCTTGTTTATAACCTCCATTAACATCTCCAAATATGGTGAATGTTTTCCAGGTTATAGTTTAACCAAATTAAGGTTAAGCTTTGTTTACATTCGTTTCCCTATCTGTATAAAACAGTGCCTTTTAACTATTTGAATCCCGGATGGTTTTGTTTTGCGATAATTTTGCTTTCTTAGAAACCATTGAAAATGCAAGTGTGCATAGCTTTCAAAGAAGTTACATGTAGTGTACATGGCTACTGAGAAAGCCACCTTTTTATATGCTCAGACCATAAAGTAAGAATACAATACAGGGAAACTAGAACTTTCTAGGGTAAAAGAAGTTAAACTAATGCTCAAACCAAAGATAAGTTATTCATCAGAATCATCATCATCATCATTGTTGTTTCCGAAACTAAAAGATAGCTCCGCGAAATCTAATGGTGGTGGAGGTGGAATGTTGTTGTTATTATCAAGGCTGTAAGTGTCTTCACTTCTTTGCCTATGAATACAGTGTTTTGAATCTGCATTCAGCTCTTCCGTATTGCTTCCGTTTGTATCTTTTTGACAATTATCTCCGTCTTTTTTGCTTGAAATGAGCACTTTCCTTGTATATGGTGTATCGGCAGGTAAATCACTACATAAATCAGCTGCATCATTGTCTTTGCCAACTGATTGACTTCTTTCATGATGGGAATAGTGTGTGAAGTCAGGATTACTGTCCAGGGCGACAGACATTTGCAGGTCATCAAAGGACCCAAGAGGGTCCTGCGTGTCTCTTCCCGAAACATCTGTGGAAAAACCACTATCAGCGCCACGTGAAGAAGCTGAAGAAGATAATGTTGTAGCAAACGTGTTCTCAAACGTCTGCAGGTCACAAATGGTGTCTATTGATTTTACAGAATCTGTTGAGAAAGATTTGGTATTCTGATCAATCTGAACTGCCATATCAAATGGGGACAGTTTTGAAGAAAGTCCTTGATTGTGTTTCATTGGGGGACTGTCAATGTTTCTTAGAGAGTTGTTTTCAGTTGTACCCATATCATAAAGATTTGACGTGCTGGCTCTGCTTGATAATGCAGATTTTGCAAAAGAAGTTATCTGATCGAGTGACTGATCAGAGAGATCATGGAAGGACCTTCTTAAGCGATTATCTTGGTTTTGATGAATGTTACTTGAAGGCCCAAGAAGTACAAGGCTATGCTTTTTCTTTAATTCTAGCGTTGGTGATCTCTTTGACTGTATTCTTGGATTAGAACTTCTTGCATAGTATGAAGCCGGATTCGGATTGTTTGTTAGATGGTTACTGTCATTAGTACCGGATTTATTTAAGAGTAGAAGAGATGGCATGCTGCCTGACATATCTGAATCCGCTTTCAGATTAGATATCGGGCTCAATCTATCTCCAACAGAGGTGCCAAATTTTTCAGATAGCAAGGTCGGAACATCGAAACTCTCCTTCCTTCTTAGATTGACACCTCTTGTTTTCGATATTAATGGATCTGGCAAACTCTTATGTTTAGGGTAACCTCTGGATGCAGATGGATTCTCGCTTAGTGTGTTTTTAAGGTGAAGTTTAGGTCTTAGCTGCGGGGTATAAAATCCGTTGTGTTTTGGGCTTTGAGTTTTAACATCACAGCTTTCATTCAGTGGCAGTGAACCTTTGTTACCAGTAGTACTAGTGTTGAGGCTATCAGCAGTCTCTGTTTGCTTCTCTTCATCATCCAACGATTTCTTAGAAGAGCTTCGGCTGAAGAGTTTGTTCAAAAATTTGAATGGATTCTTTCGTTTCCCCGAAGAAGGTATTACGATGGCTGAGTCACTGACTCGTCTTACATCTTCTAAAGAAACAGATAGTTTATTTCTCTTCTGGTTGTTTAAGGCAGTCAAGAGGAGCTGGGAGTCTGTTAGGCTTGTCTGTGTTAGAATACTGGTTAGAAGAATCCGCAGTATTGCTTTCTGGATCATCTGGTTCTTCAATGCTGCCGCCAAACGTAAAGTTAATTGTCGTTTCTGTGCCTGATGGACTCGTTATTTCTACCACAGGAGCTGAGGATTTAAAAGAAAGTGCTAATGAAGAAGTGTGCTATGTAGATATAAAAAAATTAATAAACATTCTAATCATAGTAGTTGAACATCGGGATTCAAAAGAAAACGATGCACGATGTGTCCCCGCGTATGTGACCGTGACGGTAGCTAAATAGAAAATTTAGCCGCTGAGGTATACACACTCGACCTTGAAATACTGCAAGCCATGACAGATTATTATAATGATGTTTGGCAAGCCTCCCTTCTAGTTACATTTACTTGGTAAAATATTCAAGGAAAATTACGGAAAATATTTACCTCTTAGTTTTGAAGTCTGGGTTCACTGCAGATAGTACTGGTTGGGGTGAGAAAAGAAGAGATGGGGAGGATAATTGTGACAGGGGCGGGGGGGGGGGGAGAATTATGTCACTCTGGGATTGAGACCCTACAGAGTGTCGACTGCTCTATAAACTACAGGTCTAGCACTATGTGCTCGATGAGTCTGGAGGCGTGCCAAAGAGGCTTTAATTTTTTACTTTCTGACCTAATAGGCAGAGGTATTACCAACAAAACACAGCCGTATATATGATAAACGTGTAAGATATTTTAAATGTAAACCATGTTAATTACGAAAAAAGTATAAGCTTTTAGTTTATAGTGAATTACAGCGCCAGGCAGTAAAGAAATATATATATACATATATATATATATATATACACACACACACATATAATATATATATATATATATATATATATATATATCAGGAACACCTTACGGGGATCATCTACGTCTATACAGCACGTGAAAAGGTATGTGAATTCGGAATACAAAACAGAATTATCAAGACAGCATTGTATATGCGGTATAAAACATTATATATATATATATATATATATATATATATATATATATATATATATATATATATATATATATATACATACATATATATATATATATATATATATATATATATATATATATATATATATATATATATATATATATAATGACACATGCGTCGCCAAAAAATGTCCTCACATCCTGTTCTTTCATAGTGGAAGACGCTTCTAAGATCGCAGTCGTCACGAACTGATTCCAGCTCCTCCCTACAGCATAATATAAAGCTATCGTCTCGAAAGACAGACAAACAACGGGCATGATTACACACAACTCGAAACTTACCGGATAGTGAAGCAGAGCTGCTCCACGTGGCATCAGTCAGGTCTGGTTTACGTTTGGTATGTCTTAACGCTGGCTCATTACGAAGGTCCAGTAACAAGCTGAGGAAATAAATCATCAACGTTTAAACAATAAAAACAGATTGATTGAATGACGTTCAACCTCACCAGGACACCACACCGAGCAATAAACACCCGGTGACACAAAGTGCCTCATTCAGATAAGGATCACCCAGGGACAAGTCCCAGAAACGCAGTTCAACCGTTATGTTGGGTTTTATTAGGGATCCCGTCCTATACTAAGACGGTTGTTAATGTGTAGACATAACATTTCTCTTAATTCAGCTAAAGAACACAGATTCATTAATGAAAAACTATATTACAATTTGCATTCGCGGAAGTGCATAGATTTTTGCCTGCCGTTCCGAAGATCTTTGGATTGCATTGTCGCGAATACTGGATTCCCCAAAGTGACCCAGTTTATGCAAAGGTCGTCGTTAAGGGTAAATATGTAGAGAAGTACTGGCCTTCGGCGCCCTACATCTGTGTCTCAGTGGCGGAACCCATTTTTTTAAAAGCCTTACCCTGGCTGTTGACGGGGCCCTAATATAACTCAAACTATGGGTTTTCCGGGGTTCTGGGACCTGTACCCTGGTAATTCTCATCCGAAATTGGCACTTTGTGTCACCGGGTGTTTGTCGCTAAGTTAGATGTTCTGGTGGGATAGAATGTCAGTTAAACAACTGCTTTCATGAACGTGATTTAACATCTTCAAACACAAATGCAACTATTCCTATTATATATTTATATGTTACATAACATGTTAATGAGCTTCAGGCCCGATTAAGGCCTAGGCTAATCAAGCTACAACTTAGGATATCACAATTCACTTATGGCTCTAAAATATTACCTTTTCCCCCAGCTGATTTGAGACTTTCTATGGTAATTTTTATTAGGGACACCAGTTTCATAATGTTTGGTCGCCTTGGAGTCTCAAATTCAGCTATCTGTGAATTTTTTAGTATATTAAATACTTTTTTTTCTTGTCATCAGTTTGATAAAACGCTCACAGTTAAGTTACAATATAGCTTACAAACTGTCCTCTTACAAACGTATACACACCTTTGAATTGCAGAGAGCGGCAAGCATTTACTTCCCCTGGATATCAGCAGTGTTCTTCTCAAGACCTCGCGTACGCCGTCAGATACTGCGAGACACTCCAAGTCTGTCTGCAGCATGTTAATTGGATGACAACTATTGATGAACATTTCCAGCTTCCACGATCTCTGCTTTCGATATGGAAGTTTATCTGGAAACAAAAGCTCCCACAATAGAAGTCCAAAGGCGTAAATATCATCAGTGCTTTCATATATGTCGCCTTGCAGCACACTGGGTGACAAGCATACGTAGTCTTCTGTAGCTATTCCAAGATCTTCGGGAAACACGGCTTCTCGAGGTTTACACATCTGGCATAGTTTTACTGCTCCACTGTCTCTCTCCACCTGTCAAGATAGTATATACACACACATATATATATAACACGTAGATACATGCACACTGTCTTCATTTTGGGTCCTTTTTAGGCATAGTCTTACTATATTAGACACACTGTGGTGAGTACGGACACCTTTTAGACACTTTATGGTGAGTACCAGCATTTATTTCTGCCGGAATTGGAACCCACCCATCATCTCTCTCTATTTACACACACACACACACACACACACACACACACACACACACACACAAAAAAAGTCAATTAAAAAAAAAAGAGCCCCATAGCAACAGAAACATTAATCAGAATCGCATATCTGCCCTCTATAGGAATTTAAACCTGACTAACTTATACAGTGGTCCTTCGTGTGAACTATATACATATATATATAACCATATGAAAGTGTTTACTATAAAATAGATTAGAATATATTAGAACGTTTTTTTTAAAAAGCCCTTAACAGATGGCTAATATTTTATTCAAGGGAGGTTATTTGATGGCTAAACCATTTTATTCAAGTGAGGTTATTTGATGGCTAAACCATTTTATTCAAGTGAGGTTATTTGATGGCTAAACCATTTTATTCAAGTGAGGTTATTTGATGGCAAATCCTTTTATTGAAGTGAGGTTATTTGATGGCTAAACCATTTTATTCAAGTGAGGTTATTTGATGGCAAATCCTTTTATTGAAGTGAGGTTATTTGATGGCTAAACCATTTTATTCAAGTGAGGTTATTTGATGGCTAAACCATTTTATTCAAGTGAGGTTATTTGTTGGCAAATCCTTTTATTGAAGTGAGGTTATTTGATGGCAAATCCTTTTATTCAAGTGAGGTTATTTGATGGCTAAACCATTTTTTTCATGTGAGGTTAACTGATGGCTAATCCTTTTATTCAAGTGAGGTTAATTGATGGCTAATCCATTCATTCAAATGCCGTTAATTGATGGCTAACTTCCTCAGGTTCTGATTGTACTTTAAAATAATTCTTAAAAAGCTAGTTCTAAGAAAAAAGAAAAGAAAAAACTTTCAAGTCTGTATGTGGGTGTTTGTGTGTGGATGTATTGTAATAACTTAATAGCTAAAATCGGTCATTGTTGACAAATACAGTCAGTATAAATTGATGCAAAGCAATGAAGTGAGCTACAATGCATCTGCTGCTGTCTTTAAGAATATCTAACGAACGAGCTTCCGTTTGGTGCATATCAAAAGTATGGCGACCATCTTTAAATGCCATTATTACCTCACAGCGTACTTCTGCACCGTGATGCCTAACATTTTGGACATCCTTCACAACAACACTAACAGATTACAAGACAGTGAAATGGTTATTCTAATTTCTTTCACACACTGGGAGTCGACGTAGCGTACCCAGCCTTGAGTAGGTATCGGGTGCAGTCCGGGGAAGTACAGGCGACCAGTGTGATGCTGACCACATAGCTCATCTTGTGCAAACTAGTCTATAAAAATATAGATCTAGCCTTATATGCTCTATATGCCGAAAGGCGTGGAAGAGGGACATTTACTTTTACATATTCAAGCTCTTCATTTGAAGCTCCCTATTACATAGCGAGACTCAATTATCACCCAGGGTATGACTCTCGTACCACCATCAGAAAACCACAAGGACGTTTTATTTTTATTTTTTATTAAACGCCAGCCGTGGAAATCAAACCTTGTTCTCAAGCATCATGAAAGTGTTAAACATATCCACTTGCCTATAAGCTACAGAGCAGCATAGGATTTTTTTTTTTTTTTTTTGTCTAGTAAAAATATAAACAAACTCAATAATTAATAACCAGTCATCTCCTTGAGGGTTGCAATTTTTCGTTATTTTGAAGCCCCACCCTGGCTCTTTCCAGGGGCCGCAATATAGCCCGGCCATGAAATGGTCTAATGGCTGAACAAGGTCTCCGGGACCTCTCGACGGGTGATCCTCATCCACATGGTGGCACTTTGTGTCTCCGGGTGTTTATCGCTTTTGTGATATCCTAGTGGGGTAAAATCTACTACTACTACAAATTCAAGATGTCTTACCATGATGGTATTTAAGTTGAGCTCCATATGAACTAACCGCTCACGGTGCAAGTAGTTAAGTCCACACAGCAGAGACTGAATCATCTCTGGAATAAACTGCTGCATTTTGCGCATCTTTTTTCTTTGATAGACCCGTGCAGAGACCAGGTCACCCTTGAAGATAAATGCAGACACCTTGTCGCTCGCAGCTTCCATTTCACCGTGAAATGACGTTTTCTTCGAATTATTTCCAGATGCAATTCTGGTCATGCCCAAGAATGGGGCCACGTTTGTGTATTCGAGGCATCTGAAAAATATCAAAGAAAGATTATATATTTAATTAATACATCACATACATATGTAGATTCTTATGCCACAACTTTTTGGTCGGAGGGTGTGTGAGTGGGGGTAGGGTGGTAGGGGGACGCTGAACAAACCCACTGTCTCTTAACAAGCGTATCGTAAAAGGCAACACTCATTAAAAGTTTTATTAAATGGAATGTGTTGGACCCAAAAGGCGTAGATATCGCAACCTACCTGTAAACCACACCATAAAATGATAGTGTCTTTTAAGAGAGAATACTAGAAACTAGAAACAAAGTAAAGGTAATTTCACTTTTCATTGTGTACGTTTTGCCTTTCGTTTGTGCTTACTCTAACACTTCTAGTGATTAAATGAACAGTAATCGCATTTCATGAATTCTCAGATGGGATAGTTATGATAGGACCTTTTGGGCCTTATAGTTTTTCTTCCTTGTTCACTGCACTGTCTAAAAAATGTATTATACTCATTTTGAAATCAGTTGCATATTTTTACAGGATGTTGCAAAACCAACCCCAGTATTTTTTTTCTTTTTGGATGTTGTGGTTTTTTTCCTAGGCAAATTTTACGTTCAGTAGTTTGCCATTGCTACTGAACTGTCAGCTCCCGGTGCCACTGTCGAAACCAACACAAGACATCTTCCGCAGATTGGATCGAACCCAGCACCTGGGCATTACTAATCGCGTTCGCAACGCCTAAGCCCCAACGTAATCATATTACACAGTGTGCATTAGGAAGATTGTGTCACCACTGTTTATATGCACCACTTTGAAAAAAAAGGGGGGGGGGGGGAGGAATCGTGAGCCTGAGGATTTAGGGCCTCAAGCTAATGCTGTCGCCAAAGACTGTGCAGGTTAGGATGTTTTTTGTTTTCTGCCATGACATTAAAAAATCCATTACCTTACAGTGGGTCGACCTGGGTTACCTGGACGAGAGCCCGACGTTGTAACCACTCAGCCAGCGGCTCCTCAGCGACATTTATAAATGATTAATAATAATAATCTGTTATTATAATATCTCACCTCAGAGAAGCGATCTCGGGCAAAATCACTTTCTCATCCAGATCAGAAGCATATGTTTTTATGACCACATTATTTGCTGCGTTGTCAATCTGGATTGTTGCCCCATGCAATGCTGTCCACAGACCTGGACAAACACAATGTATTGCATTTAACTTATACAGGAAAACTTAGATAACACGAACTAACCTAAGAACACTGGGTTAACATGAACATAAATTTAGTCTCAGTGGGGATATATTTTCTTTTTCTTCTTCTTCTTCTTCTTCTTTTTCTTCTTCTTCTTCTTCTTCTTCTTCTTCTTCTTCTTCTTCTTCTTCTTCTTCTTCTTCTTCTTCTTCTTCTTCTTCTTCTTCTTCTTCTTCTTCTTCTTCTTCTTCTTCTTCTTCTTCTTCTTCTTCTTCTTCTTCTTCTTCTTCTTCTTCTTCTTCTTCTTCTTCTTCTTCTTCTTCTTCTTCTTCTTCTTCTTCTTCTTCTTCTTCTTCTTCTTCTGCTACTTCTAATTCTTCTTCTTCTTTTGTCGTCCCACTGACATCAGGTTGTAGTCAAACAACTAGGTTTTCTGATTTGTCTTGCGCTTCTCTTTTGGTTTCGGTAATAGATTTGTTCATCTCTTTTCAGGTTTCTGCTACACCAATAATCATTGCTGGTCTTCATCTCACCTTCCTCCCACATGTTCTGCTGTAACACGTTTCGTATGCAGTTTGGTCTGGCTGCAGTCTCAAGAGATGACTGAACCATTTCATTTCCTAGCGTTCACCCACTGTTAAAACTCCTGTGGAAATGTCTAGTTGTGGGCGATGTCAGGACTTTGGTCTTGTTCCAGAACTTGGGCTTTGTGTGCACTCATTTTACAGATCTGGCTTATTTGTATTTTGACTGCCTCTTACGAAGAAAAAATATATCTAAAATACATCTTTTGTGGCTACCTACAAATATGTTAATAAATTAAATATCAAGATTTTGACTCTGTGCTGTTAATGGATTGAATTTGTTATAAAAGCATTTTGCACATTAATCATTTAAGTTATTGTTATTTCGCTTCTTTCGATGTTGTTTTATCCATTTATTACAACTTCTCGCGCTTTTGTTATATAGTGCTAGACTTATATTTTATAGACCAAACGGCACTTGGTGGAGTATATGGTCAGCATCACACCAACCGCCTTTACTTCCCAAGACAGTACCTGGTACGCTCTCACTCAAGGCTGCGTTAACCTAGGACAAAAGCTATATTAAAAAATATCGGGCTCCCTCGGGACCCGAATCAATGACCTTCTGATCGGCAGGGGAGCGTCTAGCCACTAGAGCACGGCAGCTTCCAATGTTATGGTACCGTAATTATAATTTGTGTCAGTATAAGTCTTCCGGCTTAGGCGTTGCGAGTCCGACTCGTAATCCAGCGTACCGCGATCGAAACCCACTGCGGGCTGCGTGGATTTTTATCGTTGTATGGGACGTCGCAGGTCGACCCAGCCTCAAATGGGTACCAGGATGGCTGTCCTGAGGAAGTAAAGACGGCCGGCGTAATGCTGACCACATTACCCACCGAGTGCCGTTTGGTCTGTAAAAATTTGGGTGCTCTTCCCATATACTTGATGCGCTGAAAGGCGTGAAAAGGGATCTTTACTTTTTCTTTTTTTACTATAAGTCTTCGGATTTTAGTGCAGTTATTATAATCATTAGTCTAATTAGAATGTCAGTTTATTAAAGTAATTAGTTGGTTAGTGTTTTGTATGCATGAATACAATTAACAAAACAAACATGGGCAAGAGTTGCATGGTCAGAAAAAAAACGAATATCAGTTTAATTATTTACCATTAGTGAGAACTAAATCCCTGTAAGATAAACCAGAGTGCAACGGTCAAGTTCCTATGAGTAATAACACATTTTAAACAAGCTATAAATGTGAAACCTACCCTGACTGACGAAGCCTCGTAACCTGGAATCAACAGTGTTGTTAGATTCAGACAGAATGTCTTTTGGAACAGTGACTGTACTCGTTCGTTGCTCAGTGTTGAAAACCAGTGTCTCTGCATTAATGTCGTCCATGTATAGCAGACCATAGCCTATGGAAATATATACATGTAATGTTTAGCAAACATTGCTCTTTGGCCACATAATGAGAAGAGAGACATTGGAGAACATCGTGACAACTGAAAATATCAATGGAAAAGGGAGTAGAGGCAGACCAAAAGAGATTATGCTGAACTGGTTGAAACGATGGTATAGGGGGATATTATTAAGAGAGCTGTTCCAGGCAATCAGGGGTCGTGATCTGTGAAGACGCCTATGCCAGCTGGCAAAGCACATGATGATGATGATTTTGCCCACTGTTTTATGCTGTTGCGTGGGGGCTTCTGCGATTGGTGCCTACGGGATTGTCATTCGAACAGTAATTTCTTTTTTAGGCGAAATGTGTGTTAATCGCTCAGTATGCTATCCTATAAGAGATCAATTTCATAAGAAAGATTCATTTAAGCTAAAAAAAATTAGGGAGTTAATGAAACAAATGTCTGCAACAAAAGAGAGTCAGTAAAGTATATAGTGTCTTTGCACAATGCATTGCCTAGCATATTTTGATGTATCTCGTCAGGCATATATTGTATTATTTGCATCAAAGTTTAAAGAAGCTTATTAAAAAAAACAATGGCCTACTACTAAACGTACTGCTGCCCGTAAAATCAAACAGTCGTAAAATGTGGTTGATTTTGCAACGTACTGTAAAGGACACGCAACTAAATATAAAGAATAAGACAACGAATGTTGAACTGCGCACAATATTTGAACCTCTGAGACGTGATCTATAGTGAGACCTATATATATACTCAAAAGGTTTGCTCAAAAAGATCGAGATTAACTATATCCAAAGACAGTGGTTAGTTTCTCTAAAAAGGTCGTAGCTGGCAAAGATCAATTTCATTCTCATGTCAGGGAACGCGGGCATGCAAGAAAATAAGCGAGCTGATAGGCTTGCAGGTACGGCTAATTCGAAGGGTGGACAAGCCATGGACCAGGATGATACATTGAATGCTGTTCGAAAAGTAAGTCTTTTACGAGAACCAGGTGTCTGTGAAACTGCAATAGCGACCGACTGGAAGAACAGCAGGTTAAATAATAGAGATGTGACCAGTCAAGATAACTATGCAGGAAGCCACAGATATATAGAAAACCAACACAGAACTGAGGTCGTCAGCCGAGATTTAACGAGGACTGGATCTGAGCATTTAAAGACTGAATGATTCGATGTGTAGAGAAGATAATCTGTCGACTAACTAACTAGGTGAGACTTATAGTGTAACCAAAAACGGATGTATATTTTACCTTTTAAATGGTGTCTGCAGGGCTCCAGGTTTTCCATGACTTTTACTAGCAGATCTTTGTTTCTTTGGAAGATTCCACGATGTTCTCTGATTTCATCCATTAATTTTGTGTTCACTTCTATAAACTTTGGAATGCTGTTCACAACATTTGTTACACAATCTGCAAATTGCCAGTAGTTTGGGTTAAAGTGACATTCTGATCGTTCTTTACCAACAAGAATAATATGTAATAGCTATACGGCCATACTAGGTTAGGATGCTAATCAGTAAATTTTTACCTTCTTCTTCTCTGCGTCCTCTTTTATCGCTTCCGGTGTCGAGGGAGATATAAGGTCCTGCTTTATGCTCTTCTGGCTGCCTCGTCCATAGACACATCCCGGTGCTGCAGAGTTTCTCTGATGTTATCTCCCATATTGTTCTTGGTCCACGTCTTGCTCTTATGTCCCTCTCCTCTTTTGGTATATGCCTTGTATGGTAAAGCATCAGAAGGCATTCTCTCCAAGTGGGCAAACTATTTGATTTGCTGTCTTTGTATGTAATTTAGAATTGGTTCTGTGCGGTCTTTATCTCGTATGACCTCATTGCTGATTCTATCTCTTCTGATAACTCCTAATGTCTTTCACTGACACCTCATTTCCATGGTTACTAATTTTTCTTTCATATTTTGTTCTGAGTAACCACGTCTGGCACCACTGGTAGTATAGGATGGGAATGAATAAGCTTAGCATGAGATGTTTCTTTGTGGGATTGGGATAGCCTTATGCTGTAAAAGGAGTGCTAGCTTTTAAATACTTGGCCTGCTCTACTGCATCGGATGTCAATTTCTTCGCCCAATTTACCATCTTCAGTGAATGTTGTTCCAAGATATTTTAACTCAGATGCCTGTTTAATATAAGTATGCTCTAATGCTATATTTAAACCCTGCTTCTTTCTTCCTATTGACATTACTTCCGTCTTTTCATATTATTTGATTTGGATTCTTCATTCATGGATGAGAGATGATGTTGCAAATTGATGGTTGTATAAGCAGTCATGGCCTGGTCATCAGCAAAGAGTAATTCGTTGACGTTACTATTGTTGTCATTTATGGTCCTTGCATCCTTCCTTATACTGTCGATGGGGGTGACAAACATTTTTACCGACATTTGAAGAAAAAAAAAAACATGAGTGAAGCGTTGTATGAAATCATAAAAATATTACAATGTTTTAAAACAGGCAATAATTAAAACACTAGGCGACTTTTTGAAGTTGCAATACCAATGTGTTTGGTACACATGCTTACCTTAACAATGGTCCGTGTTCAATCAATAGAAGTGATAGAATTATTTGTTTGTTAAGATCGAAACCTTTTATGTGTGGAAATTATTATAAGAAGGAGAATGACAAAGAAGGTAACTGGTCAGTCAGCAGAATTAGGGCATAGTCTAGAATGCATGCAGACCTAACTTTTCACACCCCATTTAGAGTTTGTGTATGATGTAGTAGGATGTTGTAGGATGTTGTAGGATTTTGGGGGCATCCTTTGAACTTGAGGCACTTCTGCCTGAGTGGCAAAGAATCAAGAGTGTGCCCAAGAGTCTGCATACAAATAAACCTGATCTGTTGTGAAAAGGATGTGTGAGCAACATTCCGGTTCCGAAACAAGACTAACATTCAGTGATGAATGAACACCCAGAACTTTCTGCCGGAGTTTACAGCCAGTGAACGCAACAAAGAAAACAAAAGAAGAATAAGAGGATCCTGCAGATCAGACGTGATCAGTGTCTGTCTACCGCGGTCTTGTACTGTAGATTAGACGACAACCTTCTTCTTCTGCTTCTTCTTTCGTTCGCTTGAAACAGATGATCTATGTCTGTAATGTTATCTCTAGTGTGAACTTCACTGTCTTTTGTAATTCACTCAGTGACCCATAAAGTTTGACTTGCACTGGTGGTTTTCTTAGCCAAAAGTGTTGCCTTGATATGTTATATTTGGGACAGCCTTGGAGGACATGATCTGTTGTCTCAGGTGCTAGTCCACATGTGCACATGGCTGATTCTCAGATTTTAAATTTTGTGTACATGGGGCTGCGAAGTCGATTGTGTCCTGTTCTAAGGTGTAAAAAGACTCTAATCATATTGTAGATCTTGCGATAATCATCTCACAACACAAAGAAGTGTAATGGTAAGCGCTACTTAAGCTAGACTGAAAAAAAATCATGCAAAATAGTAAATACAAATTCGTGAGCAAAGGGACAAAAAAATACATACGCTGAATCCATCTGTGTAACTCTTAGTGATGCTTTCAATGCTCTCTTCATTTTCACGAATGTCTCTGGACAACTTTCGTATTCTGTCCTCAACATATGCTGCTGGCTCTGTTCTGCTCAAGACACCATGTTTGATTCTGTCACCTAGTTTGCCTGTGTGAAGGATGTGTAAGAAACATTAGTATCATAGATATGAGACAAAAACAAGATTTTGTGTGTGTGATGTTTTTGGTGTTTAGTTACGCATTACGAATTAATAATATTTAAAACATTCTTTTACCAAAGCTGACTTAAAAAAACTATCTAATTCCAATATATATATATATATATATATATATATATATATATATATATATATATATATATATATATATATATATATATATATATATACTAGCTGTACCCGGCCACGCGTTGCTGTGGCATAGTTTGGCTAAATGGAAAAGAACGTGTCTAATATGGTTACTGTCTCAATCATTGTCTGCCTACATACAAAGAAAGTCTTCAATCCCCCCCCCCCCCTTTCCGAAATCCACCTACTACTTGCTCCCTCATCAAAAGCTTTTGGAAAAGAAAGACAATATAAATCGCACGTGTCTAATATAGTTAATGTCGCAATCATTCTCTGCACAGATATAGAGATAGTCTGGTTTGCCACTTTAGAACACGCAACATATAATTGCGTCTTCATTTTAGTGGTCGTTTAAATGGTATTATTAGCACAGTAAAAAAAAGTGATTATTTGGTTACCACATGCTAAAGCTGTTTATATTTTTTAAGAGACGGAAGTAAAAAAAAAAAATGAGAATAGCGGAGGCAGTGTTAGTAAAATATAAACAAATCAAGAAATGAAAACTTTAAAATCATGCGTTGAGCTCTTTAAGTTAACAGCTTCTGTCATCATCCCTCCCCTTCCCCATCTGCTCTCTCTCTCTCTCTCTCTCATCGAAGGATTTGAAAGTCATCACCCGACGATATTTTTTGTAACTGACGTTGATATCCGGACTAAAATAGGGAGTAGGAATTGCACTAAGTAGTAAATGCGGCTAGTGTAATATTTACCACACTATCCTTCAAGTACCAGTACAACTACTACCACCACCGCTACCACAATAAATAAAATAATGTCACTGCTATCTGTTTTACCATCGGAGTATACAGGGAGTCGTGAGCCAGAGGATTTGGCGCCGCAAGTCTAATGCTGTCGGCACGGACTGGTCAGGTGCTCTTTCAGTTACCAGTTCATGCTACCCCCCCCCCCCCCACAACCCCACACCCCTCTCCCAGTTCACCGACTACTCTTTCATTCATCGAAGAAGTCTGGAGAAAAAAAAAAAAAAAAAACCAAGTGATATGCAACGAAAGCAGAAAAAAAAAATACACAATAATTAATAAACAACACAGCCTAATTCCAACGCAATGTCATAAGAAATAATTAAATCGAAATGAAAATAAATGGAAATCCACGAAAATTCAGCGTTACCATGCAATCGGAAAGTTTGAAAAAAAATCATAAGTATGCCAAATGGTCAAATTTAATTATCAACTGGTTTACCCACATACCAGTATTTTTAAAAAATAGTTTTTATGGCCACATGGCTAGTGCTGTCGCCACGACAGAGCAGGTCTGGGTTTTATTTTGCTACCGGGTAAAAAAAAAAGTAAACTGCTGTACTGGGGATTCAAACCCTAGTCTCCGCCCGGGAACCCAGTGTACTAACCATTTGACCAGCCATTCTGAACAACGAAATGATAACAGAACTACGCAAGATGTGTGTTCCGATTCTAACACAACTCAAAACCGCAGGCAATTGTTTTCTCATTAACAGATATCCCAGATAGAAACTTCAAGTATTATTGAAACGGCACAATAATAGAAATCGTACGTGTCTCACACGGTAAATGTCACAATAATTGTCTGCACAGACATAGATCGCCCCCCCCCCCCTTCCCCTTTTTTCTCTTCCCCTCTCTTAAATCCACCGACTACTCTATAACTCTTCAAACGTTATTTGAAAAGAAAGAAAAAAGAAATCGTGTATAATATAGTTAACGGCGCAATCAGCTGTATAGAGTTAGTATGGTTTGCTGTACGGACGGATGTAAAAAAATGGAGGGTCCCGTGTTTACTGTGCACTGTGAAAGTCGATCGCCCATGCGCATTCACTAACGTGGCTATAATTAAATGCCACTAAAAATGGTCGCCTATCTCTAACAATGACAGGTAGAATTTCAAACCATGATGGGTAAACATCCGGTATCAAAACAAACAAATCCTGAAAATTTCAGCCAAATCGTATCAGTAGTCCCCGAGTCTATGGCTCATAAACAAACACACAAACATTGATTTATATATATATTATATATATATATATATATATATATATATATATATATATATATATATATATATATATATATATATATATCTGTGTGTGTGTAGTGTGTGTGTGTGTGTGTGTATGTGTGTGTCAAAATTAATACCAATATTGTTAAGTTAGCTAGTGTGATTTCTTGTCAGATTCTCTGCTTTGTGGCGTTGGTAATCATGTCTGTTAGCAACCTTCTGTCTTGTTTACAGTCAGTATCTTGGATGCAGACGTTATTCCATTCCATGATACCAAACAGCGAACACACTTTTCTTATGGTCTCGTTTTGCTTGCCTACCCGTCCAATTTTCTGGATGTCATACTCGTTTTCTCTTACTGGCGACGATTCCAATGAAAGTAGATAGTGTTCTTCTGATTTGGATAATCCATTCTCTTCGTGAATTAACTTCTTTCAAACCATCTTTCTCATTCTTGACAATTAACTAATTGAATGACCTGTATTTTCAGTTACGGACACGTCATTTAAGGTTTCTTTCTTTTTTTCAGTCTCACTTAGAACGAAATGTAAAAGAAGAAGAAAAAGAAATCATACTCATTCAAGAATATTGATTTTAACTGTTTAATTAATTGCATAACAAAAAAGGGACAGGGTGAATACCAGCATTAGAGAGAAATTGGAATAAGACCATATCTGGTAAAAGCAAGTTAAATTGACATTCAAGGAATGAAATGATTTGGCCAACTAGTGAGAATGCAGCCAGACCAAAATTCACATTGGAAGGCAGCACAGTATCAGTGAGACAAGAAAAGAATAATTATTTGCATTACCCAAAAGTGATTGTCGAATCTCATGTTTACTGTTTCCTGTTGGTGTCAACACTGACTTGCCTTCCTTTCTTCTTAAATGAAGATCTTTGGTCTGAAATAAACACAATGTACATTTTAAAATAACTGTAAAACTTCTGAACATAAAATACGTCTAGAACAACAACAGCAGCTAAAATTGCTGGGGTTGGTTCTGAAACGTCCCGTCAAGAATACTCAACTAACTTGTTTCTTGACAGCAGTCACATTATTATTTGACGATAATACAGAAGAGAAGGATATACAGTTTTTGCAGTATATTAATATTGAAAATAACAACAAAATCAACATGAATAATAACGAGAGTAAAAATAATAATTATAATAAGATCATAAAGAAGAGAAGAATGGACTTAAAATCACATTAAATATAACTGAAGAGGGATAATTATGAGTGAATTTCACAACTTTGTCAAAGATATTACTTATAATCTATAATCATATAATTTTTTTTTTCTCAACACCTCATCTTTTATAATGTACATAAAACAAATAGTCAAAGGTAATGGACAATGATAAATATGCAGTATGTTAGTCTTTCCTCTTGTGCCTAGCTGGGTGGGAGGGGGGGGGGTGCATAGGGCAGAGGTCATGGCTTCCCATGTCATGCGGTTCGTTGCCACCTGTTTTAGGTCTTGGATGATCATTAGGCCCATGGTTGAGTCTTCCCTGATGATGGTTTTATGCAGGATCTCACTTGGTCCTCCCCGTTTTCCTTTCCCTTCTAGTGTCCATGTGAGGGCTTGCTAAGGGAAGTCTTGTCTTACCCATTCTGAGTGCTTGGCCAATGTAATTCCAGCGGCGCATTCTTTTAAAATTCGGTACATTACCTTGCGTGGTTTCTTGTCCAGTATGTGAGAGAACTAATAAAGATGTACGTAATTGATTACAAACCATGATTGCAAGCTGTGATGGATCAAACACAATGTGATTACTAACCATGACTGCAAGCTGTGATGGATCAAACACAATGTGATTACTAACCATGACTGCAAGCTGTGATGGATCAAACACAGTGTGATTACTAACCATAACTGCAAGCTGTGATGGATTAAACACAGTGTGACTTCTAACCATGACTGCAAGCTGTGATGGATCAAACACAGTGTGACTTCTAACCATGACTGCAAGCTGTGATGGATCAAACACAATGTGATTACTAACCATGACTGCAAGCTGTGATGGATCAAACACAATGTGATTACTAACCATGACTGCAAGCTGTGATGGATCAAACACAATGTGATTACTAACCATGACTGCAAGCTGTGATGAAAAAAAACAAAAACAATGTGATTACTAACCATGACTGCAAGCTGTGATGGATCAAACACAATGTTTCCATGGAAAGCCTCAATGGATGAGTTAGAGCCCGTTGAAATCACTGACTCTCTAGAACCTCTCAGGGATTTCAGGGTGGTCTCCTCCATGCTGACGGTGGACAGACTGCGGGAATCCCTTGTAGTGGCACCATGAAGCATATCATGCTTTATGTGGCTTATTTGGGATTTGAAGAGGCCAAGGTGGTTTTGAATCTGGTTTGACAAATGAAATAATGAAAGGTATAATAAATGATCATTTTATAAGATTTAAAAGACATAATTAAACAGGAAAAATAAAAAATAAAGTTTTTTTTGATAATTGTAAAAAAAAAATGCCTGTGTGTGTGTGTGTGTGTGTGTATGTGTGTGTGTGTGTGTGTGCGTGCGTGCGTGCGTGCGTGCGTGCGTGCGTGCGTGGGTGGGGTGGGTGGGTGTGTGTGTGTGTTGTGTGTGTGTGTGTGTGTGTGTGTGTGTGTGTGTGTGTGGGTGGGTGGGTGGGTGGGTGGGTGGGCGGGTGGGTGTGGGTGGGTGGGTGGGTGGGTGTGTGTGTGTGTGTGTGTGTGTGTGCGTTGTGCGTGTGTGTGTGTGTGTGTGGGTGGGTGGTGTGTGGTGTGGTGTGTGTGTGTGTGTGTGTGTGTGTGTGTGTGTGTGTGTGTGTGTGTGTGTGTGTAAACATTAAACGACGGTTCTCGTCAAAGTCAATAGATTCTAAAGCGTTTAAATGTATAGATACAGACACATTTATAGAATACTGTGGGGTAAGAACAGAAATGCTGCCATTCTAGAAACATCTAAACTATGATGGCGAAGACAACTGTAAAAAAAATTATTATGTTTTGGTAACTGAATCCTTTAGTCACGTAACGACTGCTTTACAAATAATGGATGCCACCGTTCCATGCAGAGGCAAGGGTTGCCAAAATTTGCGATAACTGCCGTGTATGTAAAAACACTGTTTAGCACTGCATAGTGAAAGTAAAGGAACCGTTTCGCTTATTGGCAATATAATGCTAGATTCATGTTTTCATACACTATTGGGCGCTAGCGGGGTGATGTCAATGTTACACTGGCCGCTTTTACTCTCCAGGACATTTTGTGTGACCCTTTAAGCTGAGTGGACGTGAGAGTCAAGATCCTTGTCTGTTGCCTAATCTATCACAAGTGGACAGAACCCAAGTCATCCGCACCAGCAAGAAAACTATGCAACCGCGGTTTACGACACTAAGGAGGGAATAATATTTAAAGAGCTGAGTTTTTTTGGCAGGGAACAATTAAAAAAAAATTTTAAAAAAATACTAAAGCATTTGCATGTTACGCCCTTTGCAACAATAGTTAAATAAGTTTAAACTGAAATATATTTATTTAAAAAGGATATCTTTAAATGAGGTATATTATCATTTCCTAATTTCATTTTAATGTTTCCAGTACACATATTTTTCTAAGTGGTGCTTGCATTTTAATGAACATCTGACTTAATAGTGCTCTTGACAGAGCTCATCAACGAACGTTACATCTCCCCCCGATATTTCGATGATGTACAAGGTGGAAGAGAAAAAAGAAGAGAAGAAGAAGAATAAGAAGAAGCTTGAATTTTTTGTAAACAAACTTCAAGTTTATACAGGATTTTACATTAAACAAAAACATACTTACAGCCACTAAAATTTTGGATTCCATTTCATTCACAATTTTTCTCGTTTGAATATAATCATCGACATGCTTGAGTAGGCTTTGAACAATCATTTCATCGAGCAATCGTCTGTTGGCTCTGCAAATATGTGTTCCATTATGTGCATGTTCTAAAGGTAACATGTTTATACAATAACATTTGAAGATACACAAAATTGTATTATTTTACTTTTTAAAAAAAACACGACTAATATAATTGGAGATGCCTGCGTGTACAACACTAGGGTAGATTAAATATAGTTAAATATAACTATAAAATGCTGACCACATTACCCACAGAGTGCTGATGGTCTGTAAAAAATATGGGACGCTCTGCCCATATGCCCGATGCGCTTAAAGGCGTGAAAAGGGATCTTTACTTTTTACTTACTAAATATAACTAACTTAGTGACAGCTTATAATAAATTAGTACAAGAACTAACTGCACTAGAGTTGATGACTATTTACAGCGGTGGTTCTCAACCTGGGAGTGGGGGTGCGAAGGCAGAGGCGCAAACAAGTTATTAGGGGGAGGGACGTTATGCAATTTTGAAAGTGAGTAAATCTGTGGGCTGAAAAATGCAACTTTCTGACATTTTCCCCTGGTGGGAAACCAGGAAAAGAGCCACTGCCTCCCCAACAAGCATGTCTTAAGAGTCGACTGATTAGGGCTTCCTTCCAAGTCGAAGTACATTTGCCTGAGTGGCAAGAAACCAACAGTCCATAAAAGAAGAAGCTTCTACTTTATGTACCGATTTTGAACTCCTGCGAAAAGATCCAATTGTTCGTCCACTTCTGGAAACCGGCCTAGTGCAGTGAATTATGTTTTGTTTGCTCTTCAGTTTAACATATCGGAATTGTGTGTATGTGTGTGCAAACTGTTGATTTCTTGCCTCTCAAGTAGATGTACTCTGATTTCAACAGAAACGTCAGTTCAATTCTATTTTCCATAGCCAGGTTTCTTGTTGAGAACCTGTTTCTAATATGACTGTAGAAAGGTGTAGATAGGTCTTGACCAGTTTGAGCTCTAGTCCAGTTGCACAAACACGTGCAGCTCAGTAACTCTGCATACAAAATAAATTTATGTAACTGAAGAATCAAACATTACTCGTGCAACAAACGTACAAAGACATACCATATTACAGAGATTAGAATTATAATATTTTTTGTTTAACTGCAGTATTTTGATTTGCATACGGTGGAAAATAATGAACAATAATGTTCAGTTTTCGAACTGACCAGTAAAAAAAAATAATTTTTCCAGACATTTCTGTTACTGGGCCATGCGGGTTTAAACCCTGATGAGTGAAGTGAATACTCCTTTGACTTAAAAAAAAAATAATCTTGGTGCCGTCTCCGTAATGTAGGTTGTTGACAGTTTACCACTGCTGTCTTTGGGAAATGTTATTTCCCAATCCTTTCCACTATGTTAGTCTAGTACTAGTGTCGGAAAAGCAAGAGAACAGTATTTGTTTTTTTACCATCAACCACAGGAAAAACTCTTACTTTTAAAGATGCTTGTCACGAACAGGTGACAAAAAGTATGTCAGAATTCAGACTTACTGGTTGACGAAAAAGTTTTCACTAGAACACTTGCTAATGATTTCCTCACAATCCTGCAGCTCCGCTCGTGGACTGATAGAATCGAAATTCAGATGTCCAGATATCAATGCTCTTAGCTCCCATGACATTTTATTCAGCTCTTTCTGAAATGTCAAATGTATGTAATTATTAAATCTGAAACATGGATACATTTTCAGTGATATAAAGCAACTCTCTATTTTTGAAAACAATGAATAGACAGACTGCCCCTGACCATCATGTCGTAGGAGCCATTATAAGTGTTGCCTTCAATATCAGAGTGCTACTGCCTGAGAGGCAAGAAACCAACATTCTGCATACAAGTACGTCAGACCTCTAAAACTAATGTGCACTCAAAACTAAAATTCTGGATCAATTCCAAAGTCTAGGAGTGAAAGAACAACCAGAAACATTGTCTGGAATTTTTAGCCGGTGAAGGAAAAGAAGAATTAATAGTTTAAAAAAAAATAAAGTAAAAGATCCATTTTCACGCCCTAGGCGCATCGGGCATATTGGAATAGCACCCATATACTTACAGACTAATAGGCACTACATGGGTAATGTGGTCAGCATTGCGCCAGCCGTCTTTACTTTCCCCAAGACATCCATCCTGGTACCCATTTTAGGCTGGGTCGACCTGCGACGCCCCGTACCATGATAAAAATCCACGCAGCCAGCAGTGGGTTTCGAACGCTTTACGTTGGAATTACAAGTCGGCTCGCAACGCCTTAGCCACGGACGCCGAGATAATAATTATCATATTATTATTGCTAATAATATTATTACTTTTATTATCAGACAGGTAATCAAATAATCATAGTTCCATTTTCACAGGAAGCGGGTCAACCCATTCTTTATCTGTTTCCGTGCTTGCCAAAATAACACAGAATGCCCAGCATTCCCCGTTTTCTAGCAAACACCTCTCGCATTCCCCGAGTCTGAAGTTCTCAACACAAACCATTTTGAGCACATTCGAAATACATAAACACATAAATAATAATTCCACAATTCCCAAGTCTTGTCACCACTCATCTGAGTAGCTTCACAGACTACATGTAGAGGAAAGATGCATCTGCTAACTAGTTTTAGAAGCTATCAGTCCGCAATATTGAACAGCGATGAAGCACAGGCTTTATTTATCAGCCAGTCCTTTCCTTTGTCATAGGAAGCTACTCACTGCACTGTCCTCCGTATCTTATTCAACTTCAACCCTAATTTTCACTCTCACCTCTCTCTCTCTCTCTCTCTCTCTCTCTCTCTCTCTCTCTCTCTCTCTTTCTTTCTCTCTCTCTCTCTCATTCTCTCTCTCTCTCTCTCTCTCTCTCTCTCTCTCTCTCTCCCTCTCTCTCTATTTCTTTCTGTGTGTGTGTGTGTGTGTGTTTTAGTCTTCAAATATTTCCAGAGTCCCGTGGGCTCTACTGCAGGGATATTTTAGTTTTGCTATTAACTTATAATTAGCATTAAGAATATGGAGTCAGACTTGCTTGTGCAATTTAAAAAAAAAATCTTACAACAAAACTTACTTGCAAGTCTCTGGCACTTTCTGTGGATGAAGCCATCAGCCGGTTCTGCTTCTCTGCAACATTTGCAAAGTATTCCTCCAATTCCTCGTTGGACATAATACAGTGTGTGATCATGGATTTCAGGTGATGGGACGCAGGCTGTAGCATGTACTTCAGCCAGCTGCAAACAATGGTCAATGTACTTTAAAGTGATACCTGCGTAATAATTAGCCGGCTTTTATTTATTACAACACACTGCAGTAAATCAAGAGGTGGAGATATAACCTGGTTTTGGAAAGACCACAAGATGATAAAACATACAGTAATATAAATAGGGTACCATTATACTGGAATACACGAAGTCAAAGGAACAAAGGCAGGCCAAAATTAGAACGTGTACACACACACAGCGAAAGGAATTAGACAATGAAGTGAGAAAGATAGACATGACAGGACTTAAGCTTCAGGCAATAGCAAAAGATAGGTCGACTTGGCGTTAGTTGGTTTAAAGTATATGATCCACTTGAGGATAAACTGATGGAAACAAAATGAGAACTGATAAAAATAAATATGCGTTTCTCCCTACACAGGCAGAGGCACTCTAACTTCAAAGGAAACACCCCTAAATAATCCCTCTCATTTTACAGTATGTTTGTCATGGGGCAGTGAATCTGTTCTTTCCCTCTCCCCCTTGAAATAGGGAATCCAAGCGGGAAAGAACACATGCCAAACATATATCATATATTAACACTAGGAACAAATCAATCAGGCAAATGTTGTCTCCGAAATAAAGGTTGACTGCAATAGACCCCCGCCCTCCACCCCTGCCCTCTAACTATACACTGCTAAACTGCTGTTGGTCCATCTCATGATTCCCATGTGTAATACAGTTTAGTCCAGCATTAAATTTATAAATGTTCTGTTTAAAATATGGCCACAATACTTCACTGGTATGACCAGTAATCCATCAAAGAGCCATACAGATTGTTGTTTTGTTTATAATCATCTATATAAATGTAACTTAAAAAGTTAAGATGAACTTACATATATTGGTGTTTGATGGCATTGTGACTAGCTCTGTCGAAGAGGCGTTTCAGTCCTTTCATTAATGCCATCAGACTGTCAGTTACAAAGTCTGGGTCTATAATGGAAACATTACACAAGTGAATTTTTAAACTTGTATTTATTATATTATCTTGATTATGTGTAAAGTTGCAAAACCAGTCGTGTTGCTAAAAACTTACTCTCTTTTATGTATTTATGTATGTGTATATATATATATATATATATATATATATATATATATATATATATATATATATATATATATACACTTACACACACACACACACACATATATATATATTATATATATATATATATATATATATATATATAGTGATATATATATATATATATATAATTTGTTTTTTTTCAGAATTGTGATCTCATTTTATGTGGATCTCTCACTTGCTGGACATTGCCAGTTGTTATACTTTCAACCATACCGTCCTGTGTCCAAACATGTCAAGCAAAGGATGAGTTCAGTAAATTTCTGCCCATTGAAGTACAAATTATTTTAAATCTTCTTAGTTATTCACAAAAGTCTCAATATCCTAAAAATCAGCTGTGTCTTTCTGGCTTCAGTTTACGTTTAAAAAGTAAAGGACCCTTTCCACGCCTTTAGGCGTATAGGGCATATAGGGCTAGACCTATATTTTTATAGACCATCGGCACAAGATGGGTGATGTGGTCAGCATCACGCCGGCCGCCTCTACGTTTACAATTATATATTTACTCTTTTTACATTGCACCTTAAACAAACATAACATTTAAGCCCAGTGAGGTATGGTTCTCACACCTTTTATTCATATTCAGGATTCAAATATATCAAAATGTCAATTACAGTTCAGCTTTATACATAATTATGTACAAATGTATTAATAATTACACAACCAATTAGATAATAATAAACATAACACCAACAACAGCAACAACAAACACATTAAGAAAAATAATCGGAGCTACGAAGCAATGTTTTTATGAGACGATATTGCTGTTTCTTGGACAAGCATGGTAACTTATAGTTTTATCAACCAGTTAGAGAGCTGAGGGAAAACACATTGCAGGCAGTTGTAACCAAGAGACAAAAAGTGTTCTTTAACCTTGTGACAGCAACTTAAGCTTTAAAGAATGTGGTTAACAACAGAAAAGACAAGAAGAAGATACAGAAACAGCACCAGACAACATATGATGGATGGTCCACGACAATCGTATGTACTATCATAGTTGAAACTGAACCACAAGACTTAGTTAGTTATTCCTCTTGTGCCAAAGATGGCGCATAGGGCAGAGGTCATAGCTTTCCACGTCTGTCGGTTCGTTGCCACTTGATGTAGGTCTTGAGTGCGACTGAGACCTATGGTTGAGCTCTCCCTTGTGATGGTTCTACGGAGAGTTTCTTTTGGTCTTCCCTGTTTTCTTTTACCCTCTGGTGACCATATGAAGGCTTGGTGGGGAAGTCTCTGTATGTCCATTCTGAGTACGTGACCGATGTAATTCCAGCGACGCATTCTAATAAAATCAGACACATATTTTTGTTTTGTTTCCTGTCTTATAGATGTATTGGACCTAAAGTCCGACCAGTGAACATTCAATAGCTTTCGACCACAAGACTAAGGACCTATATTTGTAGATAGAGATAAACGCTAATGCCATCCGACAGGACACATGGTGATTACGAGATGTAACGCAGCATAGAAATGTTGCTTACCAACTGGCAAATGCTTCATTGTGTCTTTGGTCGAAAAGAAATATGTCTGTGAAGGATCGAACCCCGGCCACACATAATCAAGCTTGCTGAGGGCACTCTTTTTCACTTTCTCTCTGTGCTGCTCCTCTATATTGTCCCAGCGGTTACACACAAACATGGCAGCTCGAGGGTCAAATGCTTCAATCATTGTGTTGGAGGAGTACTGTTCTTTAATGGCTCGAAGAAAGCTAAGAAGCTGTGTAATAAAATATTAAATTATAAAATTGCTCTAACAACAACATTATTGTCATATTTATGTGGGCATTACACTTACTACTTACATTACTACTTACAATCAAAAACAATCAATACATTATCAGCTCCCTCTTCTAGAAGTGAGGATCGTGTAAAGCAGCGGTTCTCAGCCTATAGGTCGCGACCCTTTCTTTGGGTCGAACGATGCTTTCACAGAGGTCGCCAGAGACCACCACAACACACGTATTCCTTGACGTTATGAAGTAGGAACGAAAAATAATAGTATGGTTGGAGGGTCTCCACAGCATGAAGAACTGTATTGAAGGGTCGCAGCATTTGGAAGTTTGAGAAACACCGGTGTAGAGAAAAGTTTACTAGCCAGGGTTAAATAGGGAACGTAGTCTTTGCCATTTCTTGTGGATGTGTGTCTTTAGTGTCATTAGTTCTTATTCGCGGAATATGTTGCTGCTCTTATGTTAGATCATCCAAGGTGCCTGTTCTGGTAGCTATCGTGGCTGCATTCTAACGAGATATCCAAGCCATTTCATGATCAATAATTCATAAAGACTGAAGGAAAAGAACAAATGGAGTGAAATAATGAAAAAATGAAAGGGAAAAAAAAAGACAAACGAAAGAAAACACCAGACAGAAGGAAAACATAATGAACGAATAGGAAAAAAAAAAAAAGGGACTACGAGAGACGAGAGAAAGAAAGGAAGAAAGAAAGAAAGAAAGAAAAAGAAAGAATAGAAAGAAAATAAAGAAAGAAGGAAATACAGAATGCGAACGAAATAAACACAGAATAAAAGAAAGGAAGAAAGTAAAAAAGAAAGAGGGACCCCAACTCTTTTTTTTACACAGATAAGCCTTACTCTATCTTCCTGTATCCCTCCTGCCGTATCTGACTTGATGACATAGATAAAAGCAGAGACGTGTGTTGACTTGATAAAATTCATCGTTACATCGTCCATGACTTCGTTCTCTCCAATACCCGGTGTATCTACCAGAATGACTCCACTCTAGAAGTTAGACACATAAACTGTTAAATAATGCGAACACAGTACTAGCAAAACACCGAACAGGTGAATTTTAAGATTGACCGAAGCTTTAACAATGAAAAGTAACAATCGCCCTTTATATAAACAGGAGTTCATCATAATTTTGAAGCTAACTTGGTAACTCACGAGACTATCGTCAAACAATTTATCAAGATGGACAATTTGTATTTTAAGGTGAATTAACTCAGTCTTTGTGATATATTAGTATAACTTTACATTGCACTTATGGTATGTACAATTACTACTGTAAGTATGATGTGATCAGCGCTAATTTTGCTAAAAAATAATATTAAAGGGGAAAGCATGGTGGGAGATGGGGGAGGGCGGGGGAGGGGGTTGGGGGGAGAGAAATGTTTACACTCAAACGTTAAATAAAATGTATTTAAAATGTTTTTTAAAAAAAAAAAGCTTTTGCTTAAATACCATTATATAATTAATGGACAAAGAGTTTCTCATATACGCAAGCAATAATTTATTTTAAAAAATTCACCTAGAATTTAATATCACCACTAATACACCATGGGGCATCCTGATAATAATATACATAAAATCTGTATTAATACACGACTATATAAGAACTTAGGGTGTTTGTGCAATATTTGAGCCTAATAGCTTATTAGGAAATAGTGTAGCAATCGAGGGCAAGATTTTGACCAGATACACAGACACTCGAAAGCGAACTAAATAAAAGTTTATTAAAACGCAGCAAGAAAGTTTGAAAGAAATGTGTACCTTAAGTATGTCTGCTGGCATGCCAATAATAATCTCCTTAACGGAGGATTCCACTTCTCTTTCCTTCATCTCTTGCTGTGTGAGCTTATTTTTGAGGACCGCTTTCACTTCTTTCAGTGAAGAACAAGGAAAATATTCCTCGATACCATCATAGTCTATTGTCTTAATGCTGCAAGAAGAAAAAACACATGTCGTAGGTGATGTTACAAGGAAGAATTGAACAGCATGATGATTAGTTCTTAGCAGAAAACTGTCTTCTTCTTCTTCTCAATCTTCTTCTGTTTCTTCTCTTCTTCTTCATCATCATCATCTTCTTCTTCTTCTTCTTCTTTCTCTTCTTCTTCTTCTTTCTTCTTCTTCATAATCTTCTTCTTCTTCTTCTTCTTTCTTCTTCTTTCTTTTCTTCTTCTTCTTCTTCTTCTTCTTCTTCTCTTCTTCTTCTTCTTCTTCTTCTCTTCTTCTTCTTCTTTTTTTGGCTTCTGTCTTCTTCTTCTTCTTCTTCTTCTTCTTCTTCTTCTTCTTCTTCTTCTTCTTCTTCTTCTTCTTTTCTTCTTCTTCTTCTTATTTTTATTGTTTATTATTATTATTATTATTATTCGTCTTCTTTTTCTTCCTATTTTTTTGGCCTGCTATTGTTTACTCTTGTAGAAAATCAAGTAGATCAATCGTATTAGTTCAGGTGACCATATCACCTAACGAGCGTCATTTTGTTTAAACGTTGAGGTCAGCACATCTACTCAACATGCCAAATACAGGTAAACAAAATCATGTAATGAAAAGGATGTGTGTGTGTATATATGTGGTTGTGTGTTTGTATGTGTCTCTGAGTGTGTATACATTTGCGTGTATGCATAGTGTGTGTGTGTGTGTGAATGCATAACAGAGAGTATGTGTGTGTCTATGTGTGCGTTTGTGTGTATACATGAATGTGTGTTTGTGTGTGTCCTATACCTCCATAATGAAGATTGGCTACAGTGCATCCATTGCTATCTTTGGGAACAATACATCGTGAGTCATGAATCTCTTTGTCCAATGCGGCTCTTGTGTCAGTGTCGGACTACAACGCTATAGATGGCTTCCTGAGACGCCCGACATGGGAATCGAACTCTGACACATCAAGGAATGAATTGTGAGACATGTGCACTTTCCCCTAAGTCAAGAGCCACTAATGGATAAGTGGATATTAAGGCAAATAATCAGGATATAAAAAGTCGCATTTGCGGCTCTTTGGGACAGTAGATAGAAACACAGCAGCATATTTAAGTTTTGTCTTAAATTCCACTATATTCTGTTCCGTTGGGTCACCGCGTTACCGTTCACTACTGTTAATCAGATCCGTCTAATTCCAGTGTTCAGATGGACATTTCTTTACGTTTTCGTATAGGAGACCAGTCCAGTCTATCAGATTTGGGATTAAGTCTGTCTTTGCCTGCCGTGCCTACACTTTACTACTATCGAGCCTGTGAATTGTTTGATTCTTAATGAGTTTTATAATGTTTCACCACTCCCAGAGAATTGGAAACTGTAAGGGTGTAGCAGCTAGACTCTGGCCTTTAGATTGTAAGGTCGTACGTTCAGGTCTTGACGCCACCAGAAAGGTGTTTATGTGTTTTGTTTTTGTCTCAAATATTACCTGGCTCTCAGGTCGACCTAGCCCTAAATTGTTACAGGTACGATCCTGGGAAGTTAGGCCACCCGGTGTGATGTTGGCCACATCTTCCACCGAATTTAGATGGTCTATAAAAAAATGGGTCTAGTCCTGAAGGCGTGAAAAAAAAAAAGGTCCTTTTACTGACGGTGAATTGATAAATGATACGGAAATAATTAAACAATAATTACCTGTATATCTCAGAGTACGAAATCTTACATATGGTGACCGTGCAGTGTAGAACATCTGTGGGTAGAATGTCTTCACCAAGAAGCAGATTGAGAAATGTACTTTTTCCTCCATTGGTTTCTCCTGTTAATTAAACACACGTCAGATTCAGAAAGAGAAAATAATTGTATTGCAGGTCTTTGCAACGAACACGTCACGTAATGTAAAGTTCAGGACTTTTCGGACACATTTTTACAAATCTAAAGTGCTAACGTGGGAGTCGCCGTGGCGATGGCGGCTAGATGCCCGCCTGCGGATCGAAAGGTCCTAATGAAGCCAGACTTTTTTTTCTTTGAAAAATGACCTTGACTCCCAGGGCGACCCAGGGTGGAGTGGGTACTGGGAAGAAAAGGCGGCCGGCGTGATGCTGACCACATCACTCAAAAAGTGTCAATTGGTTTATTTAAATATAGGTCTAGCGCTATATACACAGAACGCCTAAAGATGTGGAAAAGGTCCTTCACTTTTACTAGGGTGTTAACGGGAAAATAAAATTGGTTTTTGCATGTAACGGTGAAAGCATCAATTAGCGAATATGATCTTCTCCTATTAATGTACATATACATTTCTTTTGCACACAGACACGACGCATGATGATGATGATAATGATGATGATGATGACTGTTCTGTATGTATCTTTACTCGTAAAAAAATTAATGTGTCTATTCGTAAGAAAACATCCGCATATATATATATATATATATATATATATATATATATATATATATATATATATATATATATATATATATATATATATATATATATATATATATATACTGCATGTGTGTTTGAATGTGTGTGTGTGTGTTTGTGTTTTTTGATGTATGTGTGAGTGTATAAATATTGTACACACACCAACGCGGACACACACACACACACACATACAGAGAGCGAAGTGGACAATATCTGGTGGACATGCGATGGCAAAGGATAGAACGACTTGGTGTGAATTCGTTACAGACCTATGCAAGGCAGAAGAAAATGCGTGTGTGAGTGTATATGTGCGTGAATGTGTGAGAGTCGATGGGCTAAAAAATAATAAAACGGAATGAGAAAACTGAGGTAGCGCAGTGACTAGACTCTCGACTGCAGGCCGAAGGGTCTTAGGTCAAATGCCCAGCTAAGTTCAAACCCCCCCCCCCCCACCCCCATCTTTAAATCAACATTGGCTTCCAGTTCAACCCAGTCTAGAATAAGTTTCGGGCAATATTCCAGGAAGATAAAGTCCACTGGCATGATACGAACCGCATTACCTCCCCAAGTGTGTGTTTCAAAATGAGTCTTTTATCGTGTGTCTGACGCCCAGCATGCCCGAAAGGGTTAGACACAGTCACAGACGTTGTGGACGCTTAGAACTGAAGCCTAACTCATGTTACTGCATACATACCTGCAACAACTACTAAACTTCGTCTTTCTGTGAGGTTCTTTAGTCGTGTGGAAATCTCCTTCAGCAAATTCCCTGCTATGCAGATGGCCCTCTTGTCGGAGAATCTCAGACAGCGATTCTGTTGGGATTGTCTGAAACGTTTTCTCCACTGTTTTGATCAGCTGAACAAGGGACTCAACTTTCACTTTCGTTTCCTGATGAGTGTTTCGGAACAAACTCTGCAAACACAGACATGAACATGTGAAATTATTAGTTTTTTTACCTATTCTTTTAAAATGCCTTTCTCTCCGTATGCGTTCCGGGGCCCCATTTTGGGAGAGAGAGAGACATAGAGAGAGAGAGAGACAGAGAGAGAGAGAGAGAGAGAGAGAGAGAGAGAGAGAGAGAGAGAGAGAGAACAGACTCACTGTCTCTGAAAATGCATGTATTAAAAGATTTCAATTGAAGGGTTTGCTGCCATCTGATTTGTTTTGTAAAAATGTGCAGATATCCAAGCCTGCCTGTAGACCACAAGAGCCAAGTACGTTTGTAATAGAAGAAGAAAAGAAAGTTTCTTTTCCTGGGTAGAGGTTTCAGTGCTGAACAAGTTTTTTTTCAATTACAAACGAAAGAGCTGTAATGACTAGTGCAGTAGCCTCCAACCTGAGGTGAAAGGGGGGGGGGGCGCCGCTGCGTTCTGCGCCTCTTCCCCCCCCCCCCCACCCCCACTCTCCCTAGTGGGGCGTGGGTAGTTTAAATAAGGTCGTCAAGATAACTTTTAATTTAGTCCATTTGCACTTGTAATAATCAGAATTTCTGTTTAAATAGTCATGAAAACAAAACAGCGCTGCCAGATTGAAGTGGGAACAGATTTTCCAACGTGCCTTGTCCAAAATCAGACCACAAAAAAATAATGATGATTGTTTCTTTTTTAATTGTTGTTGTTGAAATTTCGAAGCATTTGCGTCTGTTTTTCAAGTTCTTGGTAATGGAACATAGGATTTTTCTTTTTGTTCATCTTCTTGTTCTTGTTATTCTTTTTCTTCTTCTTCTTCTTCTTCTTCTTCTTCTTCTTCTTCTTCTTCTCTTCTTCTTCTTCTTCTTCTTCTTCTTCTTCTTCTTCTTCTTCTTCTTCTTCTTTCTTCTTCTTCTTCTTCTTCTTCTTCCTTCTTCTTCTTCTTCTTCTTCTTCTTCTTCTTCTTCTTCTTCTTCTTCTTCTTCTTCTTCTTCTTCCTTCTTCTTCTCTTCTTCTTCTTCTTTCTTCTTCTTCTTCTTCTTCTTCTTCTTCTTCTTCTTTCTTCTTCTTCTTCTTCTTCTTCTTCTTTTTCTTCTTCTTTCTTCTTCTTCTTCTTCTTCTTCTTCTTCTTCTTCTTCTTCTTCTTCTTCTTCTTCTTCTTCTTCTTCTTTTCTCGTCTTCTTCTTCTTCTTATTATTATTATTATTTTATTATTATTATTATTTATTATATTATTATTATTATTATTATTATTAATTATTATTATTATTATTATTAACTCGTTTCCTCCTTGGACCTTATCTCAGATCTCCAAAACACATTATCATACCAATGTGACAAGTTAAAAGCGCAGAAGACGCACTTTTATTTGTGACAAAATTAGACAATTTATTGATTTCCCCACCTAGGCCAATTCGAAAGTATCTCGAAAACTAACGCCTTCCATCAAAGACAGAAGGCTGGTGGGTTTAGCCGTTTTCGATAACCTTCAGCTGAATCACGTCAACAGGATTTATAAACTTAAAGTGAGAAGCCATAAAAAGTTAAAAATATTTATAGGCGAGCAATATCTTGTGCTGGTACGTGATAGTCATAAAAAATATCTTCCGGTTTAGTTACAGTTATAAAAGGTACCTTCCGGATTAGTTTCGTTGGTTTGTTTTTGATCACATAAATCACCCTGTTTTTTCTTTGGGCTGTCATTTAAGCACACAAAAAAGGGATTGAAAGTGATACATGGTATCTATTTCTATATGAGATAGCCGCTAGCACGCCTGATTTTTTTGGTCCACTGGTCTTGCTTTTGATTCCTCATTTTCATCGAAAAGTAACTGCTTGGGCTGATAAATATACGTGGGCAATAGCCAGTCTGAAATAATGTCTGACGGCGTCATGTAGGGAGAGGCAAATATTCTATAAGTAGTTTGGTGCCATATATATTTTGGCTTCGCGGTATAAATGCAGTTTCATAATTCCGACATACGGGGTTAGACTCATCTGTGGATCTGTAGCACCAGGCTGCTTTGTGTGGCTTTTAAAACAGAATGAGCATTAAAGCGTTCAGAAATCAGTGTTTTACTATAGAACATAAAGCTGCCTAGTAAAACCATAAAAAGCCAACAATTGTGAGGTTTGTTTGTGACATCGTGCAAACTGGCGCCGTTATAAGGACATTAAAACATAAACATGACTGCAGGGAAAGAGATTATTAACAACAAATTCATGCTAACACTGTGTACCTGTACCAATCTGGGACATTATCAAAGGCTAATCTAAGGAAAATTACCATATGTGATTTGAGATTCCAAAGGAAAGTCACAAACATAACAATCCTAGACAGAATTATCATGTGGTGTGAGAATCCTGGGGAAAACCGCCAGCTTAACCATCTGAGACATAGTGATCATGTGGTTTGAGATTCCTGGGGAAAACCGAAAACTTAACCATCCAAGACAGAGTAATCATGTGGTATGAGATTCCTGAGGAAACCACCAACTCAACCACCTGAGACATAGTGATCATGTGGTGTGAGATTCCTGAGAAAAACCGAAAACTTAAACCATCTAAGACAGAGTAATCATGTGGTATGAGATTCCTGAGGAAACCGCCAACTTAACCATCTGAGACTAGGTGATCATGTGGTATGAGATTCTTGAGGAAAACCGAAAATTTAACCATCCAAGACAGAGTGACACTGTCAGACAGACCGTGGAACAATACTTTGCACCAAATTCATTGAAAAGCAGACGATGACATTGTTAGGTCACCTTGTTAGAGTACAGTCACATCAAACTGCCAGCATAGGCGCTACGTTTGAAATGATTTTTTGAAATAGCAGAAAAGGCTATCAAGGTGAACCTGGACGGATGGCATTAAAAACATTCTACATGGAGACGGAATGTAAGAATCTGTTCCAACATGGGACGCAATTTTTTTATTTTAATTTAATCCCTAATATAAACTAACGGTTGAACAGGTTTTTTGGGACTTGTACCTTGAAGATTCTCATCCAAATAGTAGCACTTTGAGTCACCGGGTGCTTGTCGGATGTTGTGGAGTTCTGATAGGGCTGAACATCACTCACTCTCACGAAATGACATTATCCAGTTATACCCACTTAGCTTTTTTGTTCTTTCTTCTTCTTCTTCTTCACTTCCTCTTTTACCGCTGTGGGTGTCGAGGGAGATATAAGGTTCTGTTTCTAGCTCTTCTGGCTGCCACGACCATAGGCACATCGTGCTGTTGTAGAGTTTCTCTGATGTTATCCTTCCATCTTGTTCTTGGTCTACCCCGTGCTCTACGTCCTTCTTCTCTTTCCATGTATGCTTTGTATAGTATGGTGTCACAAGGCATTCTTTCTAAGTGGGCAAACCATTTCACTTGCTGTCTTTGTATGTAATCCAGAATTGGTTCCGTGCCGACTTGTTCTCTTATGATCTCATTCCTGATCTTATCTTTTATGGTCACTCCTACAGCCCTTCTCAGACTTCTCATTTCCGTGGTTACTAATTTTCTTTTATGGTTTGTTGTGAGTGACCATGTCTGGCACTGGTAGCACAGAGTTGAAATAAATATGCTTTGAATAAGATATCTCTTTGTGCTGATTGGGATTGTCTTATGCTGTAAGAGGGGTGCTAGCTGTCCCAATACTTGGTTTGCTTTACTGCATCTAATGTCAATTTCTTTATCCAATTTCCCATCTTCGGTAAATGTAGTTCCCAGATATTTAAACTCAGATGCCTGTTTAATGCCTTTGTATTCTATTGCTATGTTTAGATCTATCTTCTTTTTTTTAATTGACATTACTTCTGTCTTTTCAGTGTTGATTCTCATATTATTTGTTTTACATTCTTCATTCATGGATGTTAGATGTTGTTGCAATTTCATGGCTGTATCTACTATCAAGGCCTGGTCATCTGCAAAGAGTAATTCGTTGGTCTTACTAAGATCTTCATTCATAAGCTTGGCATTCTTGCATATACTGTCGATGTAGGTGATAAACAGCAGTGGTGATAAGACACACCCCTGTCTTACTCCAGATGTCACTGTGAAAGGATGAGATGTTCCCTGATTTATTCTAACTACACTTCTACAATCCCTGTATAAACTTTTGCACACTTCGATGAGGTGTTCGCTTACTCCATATCTTGCCATTATTTTCCATAATAATTGTCTGTCGACTTTGTCAAATGCCTTCTCCTTGTCTACGAATGCCACAAATAAGTTCTTAATGTATTTTTTTTCTTTAACGCTACTTAATAGCAAAAATGGATTAATGACGATAGTGATGTTAAAAAGACAAGTAACTACATTTATAGCTAAAGATGGCCGTGATGTGAAGTAACATGATTAGTTCTCAGTCTTCACCGCTGCAAGAAATATTGTTTAGGCATTTTGAAAGACTGTAAGGACAATAAAACCTTATGTGTAAAGTAAAAGAAATATGATAATACACCATCGTACACTACCTTCCATTTGTTGCTGCTGCCCTCCAATTTCCTCTTCATCAGGATGAGTCTTTCCCGAAGATCTTCGGAATCACTGAGGTTGGCATCGTCCAGAAGCCCAGAATTCTCTGAGATATCAAAGAGTTCTGTAACCGTGGCGGACCGAAGGCGGTCAAATGAGATCTCTGTAAGTTTCATCTGTGGGTTGTCTGCCCTGAGAGCACATCTGGGAATGAAAATTAATTAAACAGGATGATACTAAATATATACACAATTTATCGGGTATAGAATACACTGTGTATAGAATACATTTTGCTAAAAATAGTTTCTCATTCATCCACAACTACACATCGACATAAGAATCACTGCAGCCAAGCTGATAATAATGAGCGACTTAAGACAACACAAACTACAGGCATGTAAAGAGAGCTAAACATGGATATAAGAAAGACTTGCACAGGTACAACCGAGCGGGTTAGCTTGTCTTTATCAAATAATAAACCGGAATTTTGAAAACAAAAGGCTGATGTTGACTTAGGCATCTTGTTATTAGATTCGTTGAAAAAAGAGCTTCTAAAACGGTTTTTGTTATGTTAAGCTAAATAATTTCATGTTTGCTTTAAAACTGAATTTGGGTGATTTTCGTATGACATTCATTTGCTGTTTTTTAATAGGTCATGATGCTTACATAGTCGCTTTTTACTACGCATCTCGGCCTTTTGGCTAAGACTAAAGTGTAGCTTTGCTGCACTGGTCTGGCCAAAAGAGCCCGGGATCGGTCATATCCAAGTGACGGGAGAAACCCAATCGGCAATGCCATCTTAAAAAATCTGCCGGGCGGTTTCTCCGTTCAGTCTGGATTACCGACGTAATATCCTCCGGGTAGTCGGGCGGCCAGGCTGGGCATTTGGGGAGACCGACCCGGACAAAAGGAAGCATCTTTAGGAGTAGCTGGCCTATTTTTTTTTTTTTTTCTCAAACTTTCGGGCTCTGTTCCCACACAGGAAGGCCAAGAATTTTGACCACGCTGATAGGAGGGGGTATGTTTCTGTGTTTTGGAGTGACGCTTTTGAATAACTGCATTTAATACATTATCTTGCACATAATAAGCGATTTAAAACACTGAATGCTCCTATGAAGACACCTGATACATCAAAGGCAAAAACGGTGTCGCAAATCATCAGTGTCGTTTGTCGCAAATCATCAGTGTCGTTTGTCGCAAATCATCAGTGTCGTTTGTCGCAAATCATCAGTGTCGTTTGTCGCAAATCATCAGTGTCGTTAGTATTATAAAAGGATCCTATTTTGATAGCATCAAGGTAAATCGTATAGACTGCATATGATGTGTTAATGTGTGTGTGAAGATATGTGGGTGTGTGAGTGTATGGGTGCATGCGTGTGCATGCATTTTACCACCCATTCTTTTGTGTGTGTGTGTTTTTTTCTTCTCATTTTTGATATTCATAGTATGCATATTATCATATAAATATTACATGCTTTTTGATAAAATACAGCTGCAGTGTGAAAGACGGGTGTTTGGAAGGGCCGAATGTAAGACGGGACTGTGTGCCCAATTTGTAACCCTTTAAAAATAAAGTTCGTTCGTTCGTTTCGTTCGTTCCACATTTAACTGTTTCACTTTATATTCAAGCACCTCACTTCACACGTAACTGTCTCATTTCAGACGTAGATATTTCTTTTCGCAAGAAACTGTCTCTTCCTCTTTTATTTACACCGGCTGTAAGCTCCATCAGAAAATCCTGGTTGTTCATTTGTTTGGACTTTGGCTGTGTTCCAGAGTCTGAACTTTGCTTATGCATCCTATTTACTGACTTATCTGTATTTAGCTGGTTGTTCCTTGCTACTCGGGCAGATTCAATCCGACTTCGAAGAAAGCTCCCAATTAGTCGACTACTACGACATGCTTGTTGGGGATGCAGTGGGTCTATTCGTGATTTCGCCACAAAGGGGCCTCACCACCCATATGGGTAGCAAGAACATATTTAACTTCAGACGTAAGTAGTTCAGTTCGCACCTGCCTCATTACAAACATAACGCTCTTATTTCACATGGAAGTCAATCCCCGTCATTGTTCCCCTTAACGGTTCACGACCTAAGTCAGTCACTGTAACTACCCCACTTCACGCTTGAATGTCTCACTCCTCATATAAAACCGCGTATTTATCCCACCATAGGACCGTGCACACGGTACAATAAAACTAAGTCGTTTCTTGTAACTCTTCAATTTCAGTCTTAGTAAAACGTGAAGGACAATTATCACCGCCTTCAGGCGTATTGGGCATGCGATTCTAGACCTATATTTTATAGACCAAACGACACTAAGTGGCAGACGTGGTTAGCTTCGAGCTGGCTTCATTTACATTCGATAACGTTTATCGTGTACCCACTAAAGGCTGGGTCAACCTGGGAGCCAAGGTCACTTTTAACAAAAGTGTGGCTTTATCAGGACTGGAACCCACGACCTTCCAACTGACAGGTGAGCGTCTAACCGCTACACCACAGCATCTTCCCTCATCCTAAGTTAACCCTCTTAAATATCGCGCTGCTCACTTGTATCGGTAACCATTGTAGTTCAGTGGATATAAATTTGCCTACAGGTCAGATGGACTTTGGTTCTGATCCCTACAGGGGTAGATTTAAAAAACAAATTATCTTGGCTCCCAGGTCCTTATCTAATATGGGTACCGAAAAAAACGACATGGAAAGTGAAGGCAAGCTGCCTGATGCTGAAAACATCATCCATTAATTGCCGAGTGGATTCAAAATATTAGTCAATTATCATATGTCTGATTTCCTAGTGGTGTGGTTAGGATCCTTGGTACTTTCAGTTCAATTCGCCCCAAACAAAGGACATTTCTGAGTTCCTTAGAAAGTAATATTCTAAGGGTGTTGTGGGTTTGGGTTAGGAACTTTATCAGCCCCGACCGCCTCAGAGAGACAGACTAACCCTAACTCTAACTGTAACCCTAACTCTAACCCCTAATCCCCACCCATAACACTTTCCTGATAACTCCGGGGTTTACTTTGTTTTGAGTTAATTAAAAATAAAGTACCGGGTCTTTTATTTATACTTATTTTTTTTTTAACGCGAGTGTAAATATTTGTAACTGCTGTTCATTTTGACACTGCAATCCATTCTAAGAGTTTTTACACTTAACGCGTAAATAGATCTGGTAATCTGGTAATCTGAGTTTCAGCTTCATAGCAAATGGGTCACCCCATAGTTGCTCCGGTCCTGTGCCAACGAAAAAACACACAGAATGTTTATCACAGTCCCTTGTGGAAAGATTGACGGACTACTGTTTCAGCATATCTAGTATACACACGCATTAAAAGCATACGAAGTGCTAACAGTTCGACATTAAAAATGCAGTTCATCATTGATGGTAGCAGAAGTCACTAACAGATCAGCAGTTGCAAAAGCAATCAATTTTAATCACATAATGGCACCACCAATATTGCGACAATAGGCATCGCGACATTTTCTGAATCTAAATTTCACACCACAACGTTGATCATAGTCGAGAAACATTCCAAATGAAATCCGAAGTTCACAGTGTCACGTCATGCACTCAACTCAGAAGCTAGGCGACTAAACTATATCCTTTCAGTCTACAAATGGAGAGAAAATGCAACTGCCATCGTCTGGCAGACGCAAAATTAGCCACGGCTCCAAACAGTAGCTGTGCCTAGCGTCAATTTTGACCGGATGTAAATAAATGGATGTTAATGGTCGAACAAGATGCATGCGTCAGTCCAGAGCTGACTCCTTGATAAATCCACACATTTGCTTAGATAGATGAATGAGTCAGATTCTATAACTGTGCTACTGAACGCGTAGTCCCTTTATTTCTTCTCGTCCTTTTTCCCACAGCTTTAGGTTGGGAGGGAGACTTAGGTTTTGGTTCTTGTTCGTCTGGCCGCCTAGATCACAGACTGTTGAAGAGTTCCTCTGATGCTATCTTTTTATAAGTAAAAGTAAGTAAAGATCCCTTTTCACGCCTTTTAAGTGCATCACAGTCACATGAGAAGAGCACCCATAGTTTTACAGACCAATCAGCACTCGGTGGGTAATGTGGTCAGCATTATGCCGGCCGTCTTTACTTCCCCATGACAACCATCCTGGTACCCATTTAGGGCTGGGACGACCTGCGACGTCCATATCACGATAAAATCCACGCAGCCCGCAGTGGGTTTCGATCGCGGTACCTTGGATTACGAGTCGGACTCGCAACGCCTTAGCCCCATACGTCGCTGTCTTTTTATAGTGTTCTTGATCTGTTCTAGGCAATACTTATCTTTCGTCTTGTGGTATATTTCCTGTATTATATTGTTTAATAAAGTATTTTCTCTAAGCGGGCAATCCATCAGTTATCTGTGTAAGTAACTGGGTACTGTTGCTTTGCCGACTCTTTGTCCTATGACTTCATTTCTGATTTTACCTCTTGTAAATCTAACAGCCTTTTTCATATATCCCATTTCCTTAGTTTCTAATTGTCGTATCAGCTGTGTTGTTACTGACCATGTCGAACCAAAGTAGCAAAGGGTAAGGATAAAAGACTTAGTTAATCCCGCTAAAAGTCGAACTAGTTTAACACTTAAGTAGATTTGTCTTTAGATTACACAAGACTAGAAATAGGATTGTTCAGGATTGCTTCGTCATGTACAAGAAAATCGCTCTTTAGTAATTTTGATAAAAATAAACCTGCTTTTCCTCTTTCTTCTGCTTCAGAGGGTAAAAAAATGTAAATAAGGTTTTGAAAGTTTAAAATAAAATGCAAACTGTCCAGGGATGGTGTTTACAATAACCTGGTGCAGGTTTAAAATAGAATACTGATTGGAATGAGATAGCGTGTGCAACTGGGGTTAATTTTTTAAGCTAGGGCAAAGGGATTCTATGCTAACTGGGGGATTAGGCCGGTGTATACATATTTAGGGAAATAATGATTCGTATCTCTAGCAGTGACATTAAAGTTTCTTTTAACTGAAACATTGAAATGTATTCTCATTAACTGCTGCGTTTAAGTTTAGTATAACGTAGTTAACATTTTACATTCATTAACCGGACTCTGCATTCACAATGAAGACTGTTAGTAATAAAACTCCAATACTTCGTCCTCTCATGCATTGCCACTTCCCAGCCGTTAGTCCATGTTTTGGTATTATCTTTCCACTTT